TTCCATACTGCTTGTCAGGTGTTGTTTCTTAACCAAATCAATTGTTGAAAATTCAGCTTCCCAAACATACTGTCATAGAAACAAATGTAGCAGAGTCTAATGGCTAAACTGCAAACTACTTCCAGCCAGTAGTTTCCACAGCATTCAACACATGTTAAGTGTCACTGTGTTTCTTTCCAATATTTAAAATATCCCACTGTGCTTCTACCTGCTGCAGCACCCAAGGGTTCCTCACACAAAGTTTGGGAACCATGACCTAGGCTCTTTTCTTCAGTTGGATTTAATATTCTCTCTCAGCCTCCAGGCTCAACTCAAATGCCACCTCTTCCGTGAAGAGGTCCCCACTGGCCAAAAGCAAACCATATCTACACCAAATTATTTCTCCAGCTGGAATGAACATTTCTTCCTCTGGGATCCCTGGCAACTTAACGGGTAAAAAGCAAGAATTGTTCTCTGATACCCAAGATGTAAACAATGTCATATTTCTTTATTTCTCGGAATTGAATACAGTTTGGTTGAAGCCCCCGCTGTTTGCGGTTGCTGAGACTTCATTTGAAGGGTACTTCTGTGTGGCTCTCCCCTGGTTCCTGGGCTGTATCAGGGCTATGGGACTTGCACAGTTCCAGGCAAAACTGACCTGTTCACACCAGCTGTGTTCAGAGGCTGCCACCACAGTGCTCACCAGTCCATTCAAAAGTGGCCCTAATCTGCTGCCCCAGAGCAGGCTGAGCAGAGGGACTCATTCCTGGCTCTCAAGGTCATGCGGGAAGGTCCTGATGCTTGGTGCCCAGGCTCTCACACCCCGCCCCCCAAAAGCCCTAACCACTCAGGGAGCCTATGTGCATGTGGGCTAAGTCAGTGCCCCTCAGAATCTGCTGCTTGGGGGAATCCAACCTCCCCCTTGGGAAGAGGTTATTAGTTCCCCAGAGTTTGCATGCAGGCAATGGCACCCCACTCCAGTACTCTTGCCTGGAAAATCCCATGGATGGAGGAGTCTGGTGGGCTGCAGTCCATGGGGTTGCTAAGAGTTGGACACGACTGAGCGACTTCACTTTCACTTTTCACTTTCATGCATTGGAGAAGGAAATGGCAACCCACTCCAGTGTTCTTGCCTGGAGAATCCCAGGGACGGCGGAGCCTGGTGGGCTGCCGTCTCTGGGGTCGCACAGAGTCGGACACGACTGAAGCGACTTGGCCGCCGCAGCAGCAGCAGCAACCTGGGGGCTTAATGTGGCCCTCAGATGTGTTTTGTTTAGCCAGTGTGATTTATTAAAAATATTCTTTAATCCATTACAACACTTCAACTTACTGGGAGATGTTGAAATTTTTACAGTTATGATCCTTGGTGATTCCATATACAGCAATAGTTGGGGCTTGAGTTTGGACCTCTTCCTTCCCACCCCCACAAGGCATGTGTTTCCCCTTTAGCCACATCTATGGTTACGTCTGCCTGGCCCCTACAGGCCTTTGAGTTTGACCCTCTGGCCTAAGCTTGGAAAAACAAAGCCTTTTAGGTACTGTATTCTGACCTCAAACAAACACAAAAAAACCTGTTAACATTCTTTCCAGCAAGGGTGTACCAAACTGAAGCACTCCAGGCTCTGCGGCTCTTTGTAGGTGTCGGGTGAGGGGGGGTGGTGGGTGAGTGGCTGAGCTAGAGACAATTACTTTTTCATTCTCTGCCAGTGGAACTACAGCAACTAAAAAGGCAGGACACCGACGCAACACTCCAAAACTGTATTCAGCACTGATTTACGCAGACTCGTTTTGTCATTTTTAACGATATATGGTTGCTTACAGGTATTGGGTCTTTGATAGTTTCTCGCTACTAGGTAAAGAACCTTATAAACAGTATTTTGTTGAATTCTTTAGAAAACGCTTCTGAAAGAATGCAGTATAATCTAAAGGCCCAGACACCAGGAGGAGGGAGTGGGGTTGAACGCAGGGTGAGGGGAGATGCAACATAAAAGTAGAAGGGAGGCAGGTGAAAGCCCGAAACTGTCGAAGAGGCTCGGACTCAGGACCCAGGGCACCTCAGTAGGCCCGTTGTACGCGGGGGGCCCAAATCAGCAGGTCTGGTGGAGGCGGCTGCACTCAGCTGCTTTTGCCTCTCCCTGGTCCGCCCCATTGCCTACTCTTGGGTCCCTCTCTCACCGCCCCCCGCCCCCCCGCCGCCCGCCCTCATTCTTGGTCTCTCCACGCGGCTCCCTGTCGCCATTCCTTGACCCCCAGCTTCTCCCCTTTCCGTTCTGCATCTGTCTCCCCACCTGCCCGGCTCCTGGCGCAGTGGCCAAGCCGCAAGAAGGCTCCCCGCCGTCACCTGACTCGAGAGTAAATCACAGGACTCTGCCCACCCCCAGCAGCTGGCCGGCACCCGGCTCTGCAGAGGCTGCAGGCCGCGCATGCGCAGCTGCCAGCGCACCTGTCCGCCGGGCGGGCGGGGCCTCGAACCAGCCCAGGGCATCGAGGGTCCGCAGCCTCGCCCCGCCCTCAGGTTGGCTGGGGGCGCGGGGTATGGACCCGCGTGGGTCCAGACTCCGAAGAGGTTGCGGTCCACGCATCCAAACCTGTCCTTAAGTCAGGACACTGGGGCTGCGCCTGGGCGCTGGACGTTCTCCCCTGGGCATCAGAAAGTCAGACCACAAGTCCCGCGTTTGCGTTTAGAGCCGTGTGACCTTGGGCAAGTGACTTGACCTCCATGTGCCCCAGAAAAACGGAATAATAATAGCTCAGAGATGTCAAGAGGTCTTGAGCCAGGTCTTGCGTTCCACCGAGAGATTCCAATCTGACACTCCTGAGTCAGGGGTTCCTGAGTGAGTTCACAGTCTGTCACCCGACTCGCTTTCCCAACCATCCTATTTAAAGCAACATCTGTTCTGATTTTTGCCATCCCTAGTAAACATCTCAGGTACACATCGGCAGGAAAGAATTTCTTTCTTTGCCCTTTCTTTTACAGGAAATAGGAGCTGCTGTGTTTTATTTTCTGCGGCCTTTGAAGAGGTCTCCAGGCAGATTCCAGGCTACCAGAAAGTCCTGGATATTTGCAGCAAGGCCTACCCTGGAGCTTTCCTTCCACACTGTCCCTGACAGTCACATTAACCCCTCTCTGTTCCTGGAAAAGTCAAACTCACTTCTGACACCTTCTGTGTATCTTCCTAGGACACTCGCCCAGTTCCCTCTTGCCACCTTTTGCTCATCTCAGGAAGCCCACCCTGACTGCACCCTACCTGGTCCACCGGGTCAGGTGCTCTGTCATTCGCTCTCAGAACCTCTGTCCTTCAGCTTCAGCACTTACTAGAACAGTAACTCCTTGAGTCCTGTCTGAATCCTAAGCTAGATTACCAGCTCCTTGAAGGCAACGTCTGTTGACACGTCAAGGAGGGAGCACATGGCATCAGAGGTGTGTCCTAGGTCCCCGCAATTTACAAACTATCTGCTACTTTTCCAAAGGCAGCCCAAGGCTATCAGTACCTTCCCTGGGTAAAAAGCAGAGCCCAGATATGAAGGGATGACAGATAAATACTTTCCCTCTCTAGGAACCCATAGGAAGGTTCTGTTAGGGTACACTGGGGTGAGGATGAGAAGATGGTTAGATCTTCCTGCCCTGGGGCTGGTGGCTGAACTAGGACGTGTGGCCCCTTGTTCTGGCTTTTCCAGTGTTCACTATGGGACCTTAGGAATGTCCTTCTCTAGGCCTCAACTTCTTTAGTTGTCAGTAGAAAATAATGGTTCAGAATTCAGATTTTAAAATTAGATCTTTCCTTTGTCACCTATTAGCAAGGCACTTATCTTCCCTGAGTCTCAATTTCCTCATCTCTAAAATGTTATATTTCTTAACAATATTAAGAAAAGGACCTAGCTCACAGAGCTGTTCCAAGAATGTAATGAGTATTCATTGATTTTTAAGACTAGTTCTCTTGTCCTTTTTGACTTTTGATTGGCTCAACTCATTTTTCTTTGAAGTCAGAGAGGAGCCCTGTCTCATATTTCAAAAGCAATCTCCCCCATAAGTTAAATCTAGCAAAAACTGACATGGGACCACTTTGGTAAATGTGGACTCTAGGAAAGATATACTGACCAGAGTTGTCCCACAGCATAGTCCTATTCAATTTGGCACCTAGGTATTTCTAGACTTTGGTTGCCCAAAGACTAGGATTATGTCTGCCTTGTACACGGTTGGAGATCCAATGCCTAGAATAGTGGTTTACATACAGTAGTTGAGAGAAAAATAAATATTTGCTAATGAATGATGCACAACCTAAGACAGTCTAGTGCTCAGTTTCTGAGCCTATTTTTTTTTCACCTGAAAATGGAGATTAAAAACAATGTCCAATTATTGTGAGGATTTAATGAGCTGATGCATGTAAGAGCTCAGTGGATGGTGGATTTATGGATATGGGTACCCAAATAGAGATGGTGTCAATAAAGCTCACGTTACATTGTCATGGGGAGTGGATACCACTAATAAGAGATCTAGCCTCCGAGTTTCTTTTGTGGGCGAGGGGGAGTGAAGTGAGGGTGATGGAAAACTCCCAGGAGGCCGGGGATTCAGGTGCGGAGGCTGCGGAGAGGACCTTAGGACCCAGCGCGCCGGGAGCGCGCGGCGGCCGGGCCGCGCGCGCGGCGCGTGAGGTGAGGGGGAGGGCGCGGCTTTCTCGCCAGCCAGGGACGGCCTCGCGTCCAGCCGCATCTCGGGGGGCGGGGCCGAGCCTCCGGGCCGCAGTGCGATTGGCGGAGGCGCGCGGGTGACGCCGACGGCGGTGCGAGACCCCGCCCCTCCCGCCGGGCCCGCCCCCGAGCGCGCGCCGGCGGGTCGGCAGCCTCGCTCTGGCTTGGCTCGAGCCGCGCTCCCGCGCCGCGCCCGCGCGTCAGTCGCTCCCGAGCCGCGGCTGCAGGGGCGGCGGGCGGCATCCAGCAGAGCGCGCCGAAGACCCGGGGAGGCGGCGGTATCCGCGGGCTTAGCGTGAGGAGGCCAGGAGCCCAGAGACTCGCGCGGCGCGATGGCCCCCATCGGCCTCAAGGCGGTGGTCGGAGAGAGTAAGTGGAGTCGGGTTTCCTCCCCGCAGGCGGCGGCTACGGATGCCCGGGGGAAGCCGGGCTAGGTACCTGCCCGCAGCTCGGCCCCCCCGCCTGCCCGCCGCCTCCGCTCTCGCCTCTCGCCTCTCGCTTCCCGCTCGGCCTGAGGCTCCCGGGTTGGGAGGGTGCCGTTATCCCGGCGCCGCCTTCTTCGGAGGGAAGTCCCTCCCGGCCTCCTGCGGCCCTCGTCCCTTCTTCCTCCGCTCTGCTCTTCCCGCATTCCTTCTCCTCCCCCCCCCCCCGCCCCGCCTTCGCCGCATCCCTGACCCCTCATCGCAGCCCTCCCCTCTTCGCCCCATCCCTCCCTTCGATCTTTACCTGCATCTCCCTCCACCCCCATCGCTCCTCGTCTCCCCCATCACTTCGCCTTTAACCCCCACTGCGGCCTGTTATCCTCCCCTCCATCCCCCTCCTTCACCGTGAGTGCCTTCTCCCCATTTCCCCCTCTCCTTCCCCTCGCCTTCTTTATTCCCCCAAGCTCCTCGATTCCATTCCTCTTTCCATCCTCAGTCCCTCTCTCTTTCCCACCCTCCTCCTTGGAGTCGTGACGAGCCAGATCTCGGCCTGCGTCCTCCTGCCCGCTTCCCTCTAGATCCCTCCCCGGGAGCCGGAGCCGCGGTCCCCGGCCGCCGAGACCCACCTGGGAGCGGCGGCTCCGCGCGCCGCGGGGCTCTGGCGCACCGCTCGCTCGCCCAGGGGCCAACTCCTGACAGCGGGAGAGAAAGCCTGTTTGTTTCCAAAGGCGCTCTGCCGGGGCCGAGGCCACCCGGCTCCTCCTCCAGAGCCGGGGTCTTGGCTTCGAGGGCGGGGTCTTCTCAGGGTCCTGAACTGTCTTCAATCACCTGGGAGACTGGGAAAGCTCTAGGATGCGCGGGAGGAGTGGCCCTGCCCAGCACCGCAGTCTGCGGTCTGCCAGTTCGCAGGATTCAGCCGGGGCTTGATTTCGGGCTGTGCAACCCCCTCTTGCTGGGAGGAAATGGTCGTTCTTGGGTTTGGATGAAAGGCTCGACTTAAGTGGATTTTTTTAAAAAATGGATGATGGAGATTGTGGGGCTGCAGCGGAGTGAGGGCTGACGGTGGTCATATTTGGAAAACGGCGTCTTTGGTGCTAAATAAGCTTGGCGATCTTGTGTAGGCAAATAGTGCCTCTTCAATATTTTACCCGTTATCTTTAACAGAAAACGGGAGAGGATTACTGTGGTTTTTGCCATCTTTTTTGGCATCGAGAGAGAATTAAAAGTGGACTTTTCTCTGTGGGAGAGGATAAGAAAGGAAATAGAAGAAAAATGGTGGAAATGACCGTTTCCTTTCCAACGATTCTCTCCAATTAGAGCAATTCCTCCCTTTCTGGCTGTCAGATTGGATTTTTGACTGTGATGGTCCTTTTGGGCATCACTGTATCTTCTTATTCACTCTTTACATTGATATATACAAAATTTTCCCAGTTATACAACCTTATCTGACCTATTACTCCAGGAGAAAATTGTTATAAACACTGAAACCCAAATGAGCAAGTTTTTTTAAAAAGTGCCCACGACAACACCTGCCTACCCCATTCGGTAAAGGTTCCAGATCACGTACGTTCTATTTTAAAGGCCAATCAAAGCGCTTAGGGTTGGAAGGACCCCTAGGGATCTTCTAATGTCAATACCCTCATTTTACCCGTGGGAAAGAAATGGAGGCTCAGAGCAGTTAAATGACTTGCCAAAATCGGCGTTAATTAATTTCCTAAAACCTGGTGTCCATTTCCTTGCAACATTAGTTAATAATAATAATAACTTTCTTCATTTTTCTAGGTATACCATTTCCTTCCAATATGCTTTCTAAAGGGTTGTGAAATAAGGAATGTTATGTTGAATGTTACATTCTTTCTAATGTTATATTCGAATAAGGTGCTTTTAAAACAAAATCTTTGAAGCAAGTGTTCTGGAAATCACATTTCTGTGTTCTTTTACTGTGATGCTTGTTCATGCAGGTAGCTCCCCCGCCCCGCCCCCCCGCCCCCCTCCCCGCCAACAGCTTTTCTTAGAAGCAAGTATCAAAAAAACACCAATATGCCATATGGTCAGAATTTATTTTCTGAAATAAAGCCACTGTTTACAAAAAAAAAAAAAAAAGCTAATTTTACTTAAAATTGGTGAATGTGTAAACAGCATTCTATTTCTATAACAACTGAGTTAGGTAAAAATTTTGGGAAAAATATTTTTGCAATTCTTTGTCAGTGACATAAAGAATTCTGTTAACTTTGACTCCTAATTTTGGAAGGGTTTCTAGTTTTGCTTTTTTCCTCTAAAAAAATAAACCAAAGATTTTTTAAACCAACGTCCCAGTTTAAACGTCACCTTCACAACCTGGTCTTCCCAATCTAAAAATTAACACCTCATAGTCACTGTTTATCATACTCCCTAATTTTATTTTTTTCATTGCACTTAAAATTATATGAAGTGATATTATTTAGTTTTTTGGGTTGTTTTTTGCTTTTGGTACTTGTTTGATTGTTTCATCCCCTTGAATGTTGCTTCTGGGAGAGCATGGGTCTTTATCTAATATATTCATCCCTGTTCAGGTCAGTTCAGTTCACTCACTCAGTCGTATCTGACTCTTTGCGACCCCATGGACTGCAGCACGCCAGGCCTCCCTGTCCATCACCAACTCCCGGAGTTTACTCAGACTCATGTCCATTGAGTTGATGATGCCATCCAACCATCTCATCCTCTGTCATCCCCTTCTCCTACCTTCAGTCTTTCCCAGCATTAGGGTCTTTTCAGATGAGTCAGTTCTTCACATCAGGTGGCCAAAGTATTGGAGCTTCAGCTTCAGGATCAGTCCTTTCTGTGAATATTCAGGACTGATCTCCTTTAGGATGGACTGGTTGGATCTCCTTACAGTCCAAGGGACTCTCAAGAGCCTTCTCCAACACCGCAGTTCAAAAGCATCAATTCTTGGGCACTCAGCTTTCTTTATGGTCCAACTCTCACATCCATACATGACTACATGATTCATCCCTGTATCCCATACCAAAAATTGTCAGTGGCTGGTCATAGTTGGCTGTCAATAGATATTCATAGAATGAATCAGTGTTTTTAAGGATATGATCGAGAGCAAGATAAATGTAGTTTGTGGCTTCCTGTCATATCTTGCCTGCCATATCTTTCAATGGACATGAGTCTGAGTAAGCTACAGGAGTTGGGGATGGACAGGGAGGCCTGGCGTGCTGCAGTCCATGGGATCGCAAAGAGTCGGACACGACTGACCGACTGAACTGAACTGAGCAGGGATGAATATACTAGGTGAAGACCCATGCTCAGTGGGTGACAATAGGTACAGGTACAACATGGAGGATATGGGTCAGTGTTAGCTGTTCATTCAGCAAAGATCTGTTGAGAGCCTGGTAGGGATTATGTGGTAATACCGGGACACTCAAACATGGGACCATCTCACACTGTTGTGACAGACACAGACAATCCTGTGCCCTCTTTCCTGTCACTGTGCTGACACATGGTATAACCAGTTATCGTGCTTCTTTGTGTCGGTCTCACCCAACCAGACCAGAAGCTCTTTGAGGGGAGAATAGGATCTCCTCTTACTCTTAAATCTGTCTTTAGTATGACAGTTAGTCCTTTGTCCTCGTAAATGTTGGGTGAATGTTGGATGAATCTTTATGTACAGTGATCAGAGAAAGAACTCTGGATTTGGACCACCTGGAATAAAATTCTGGTCTGCTACTATTAGCTGTGTGGCTTTGGGAAATAATAGAATCCTTTTTTGCCTCAGTTTCTCCATCTATAAAATCAGTAATAATAGCACCTACCTTGTGTGGTTCTATGAGTTTTAAAAGAAATAGTGCGGGTATAGCATCTAATACAGTTCTTGATGCTTTTGAACTGTGGTGCTGTAGAAGACTCTTGAGAGTCCCTTGGACAGCAAGGAGACCAAACCAGCCAATCCTAAAGGAAATCATCCATGAATCTTCATTGGAAGGGCTGATGCTGAAGCTCCAATACTTTGGCTACCTGATGTGAACAGCTGACTCATTGGAAAAGAGCCTGATGCTGGGAAAAATTGAGGGCAGGAGGAGAAGAGGGTGACAGAGAATGAGATGGTTGGATGGCATCATCGACTCAGTGTACATGAGTTTGAGCAAACTTGGGAAGATAGTGGAGGACAGAGGAGCCTGGTGTGCTGCATGCAGCCCATGGGGTCGCAAAGAGTCGGACACAACTTAGCGACTGAACAACAAAACAGTTCTTTTAGTCAATCTTATCATTATGACAAGATCCACAAGAGTGTCAGTACAAGTGTTAGAGGATTTCAAGAAGAGATAGGCTACCTATATCCTGTGGGGCCACAGTTTTGGGGGAGAAAGTGAAGTCTTGGGTAAACTTCCTGTGTGAGGTGCAGATGAGCTGGAAAATGGAAGAATAGACCTGAAGAACATATGGATGATTAATAACCACACCCAACTTTTGTTTCCCATTCTGCTCATTTCTTTACTTTTTCCCCTTTAATTTCTTTCTATAAATGTAGGGTTTTGTTTGTTTTTTTCTGCTCTCTACTTTGTAAAGAGACTGCAAGAGAAAGGAGAATTTCATTCCCCCTCCTGCCCCGCCAGGCATTCTATGTCTGTTTCTGCTGCTGCTGCTGCTAAGTCACTTCAGTCGTGTCCGACTCTGTGTGACCCCAGAGACGGCAGCCCACCAGGCTCCCCCGTCCCTGGGATTCTCCAGGCAAGAACACTGGAGTGGGTTGCCATTTCCTTCTCCAGTGCGTGAAAGTGAAGTTACTCAGTCGTGTCTGACTCTTAGCGACCCCATGGACTGCAGCCTACCAGGCTCCTCTCTGCCCAAGGGATTTTCCAGGCAAGAGTACTGGAGTGGGTTGCCATTGCCTTCTCCGATTCTATGTCTATGTCATGTTAATGGATGATGCTTCAGTTATGTCAATCCATGCTGTAATTTACA